TTAACCTGTAGAGTTTTGCTTCTACCCGCTGCTCAGTGAGGGAGAAGCAACCAAGATTTGGATGAAACTACTGAGAGTATACATGGCCCATCTCCAGCTTGCAGAGGCAGATGAGATATTCTACCAAGTCTCAGTGAGGCAGATGACGAGAAGCTACATGCCAACCTATCAAGCACAAGGTCTGTGAAGAGGAGGAAGCTCTCCGCTTGAATATGGAGGAGCTGAAATCACTACAAAACACGGACTTGAGCGCCCATGAGCAAGGAAATAAGTATGCACTGGCTGAAAGATAGAGGATCGAGCAGCTGTGTCTTGAGGTTGCTCAAGGCAGAGAAATATATCTTCCAATAGTAGAAGCTCTTTACTGGAGTAGGAGAAAGTCAACAAAGGTTCCACATACAGGGTCTTGAGAAGCCTGGAGGTGAGACCCAGCAAACCTTAACCATTGGTTGTTTATTCCAACCCTTTGACACGGCTCATAGGAAGTTGTGGAATTGGTTTTAAAAAGGAAATGAAACTTCATGCTTCTGAACACAATCATTTCTGTAAGATATCTATTTCCTGTGATATCTCTTAAATGTAACAGTGTGCTGCTTGTATGCTGTTTGTTCTATGGACATTTTTAAATGATCCAACATTATACATGTGAATTTTAAAACAGCTGGATCAAATGGAAACAAAAGAAGACAGATGTGTTCAAGGTCAAGGGGGCTGCAGCCTCTCCCAGCATGCACCTGGGCAGGACAGTCTGACAGTCTCACAGGGCTAACGCAGAATGACAAACACATTCAAACCCACTGGCAATCCTGACATCTTCACCCTACCTGCATGTCTTCGGACTGTGAGAGGAATCTAGAGCACCTGAATAAAACCCTTCCAGCACATGGAAGTCCTCTCTTCAAAAGAGAAAGTTCAAATTACTTAAAACATGTCATTCATTAAAATCAATTGAAATGCAACCCGTGTCTTATAATTAAATAATTTGTTGTATAATTAACATTATTCTGTTAATTTGAAATGCATATAACGTCACCGTAAAGTCGAGCAGACACTGTTCGGATGAAGCTGTAACTTAAACCCACAATATAACAACTTCTAAGCAATCAACTATCTCTTCGTCGACGATGCTGTGGTCTTGTTTCAGAAATCAAACTTTGGCTGAGAAGAAAGGCCAATTATAAGTGTGTAGCATGACTTTACACAACAGACAAAAATAAAAACTTACACAAATACAAAATGCAAACAGCAAAACCTTTAACTAATTTTGCCATTGATGCTGTTTGAATCCAAGATTCCTTTTCTTAGGGCGCCTTAGTCTGTGCGATGATTATTCTCTTAGCATTGCTATCTGGTTTTTGTCCGTTTTGCTTTTAATTATGAAATAATATATTGCTTTGTTACAATTTCTTTCATTGTTATGAAATCTTTGAAGCATGTCTGTTTATTGCTGAATTTTAATTGTTCACATGAAGTGAGAACTCACTAGATAATAACCCCATGAGCGAGAGTGGAAGCAGCACATTGTCTGAGTGCTCTTATGCATTTCTCTTTGTTTTTGTGTTGATTGAAACACTCACTAGTTTTAAAACTGTGATATTTAGATAGATAAATTAATTAATAAGTATAAAATCCACCATCTAGACTTCAGCTGCAAATGAATGACAAAATGAAATCTGAAACTGGACTAATTATCTAGACAAGCCAATATCAGCCTCAATTAATGTGTTTCAAAGGCTGTATGTATGAACCGACTGCTTTCCTTCAGGTGTTTTACTTTAAAGCAACTATCAGGCTGCAAAAACTGAAAAAAAACATTGCACGAGGCTGCACGCACTTTTGATTTCATGTATGACAAAGTCAACATGTGAGGCAGCCATCTGAAGTGTCAAGACGGAGCAGCACTTTCCCCCACAAACTGAGTCACAGTAACAAGCCAGGGGAGATATGACGTATATCTGAACAATGCAAGAATTCACCAACCCTCAAACCTTTTCTTCCCTCTTCATAGCAGATGTCCAATTAATCTACTTTACAAAATATATCAGCCTGTACGACAGGTCTACTGGTCTGTGCCTAGTTGTGTTCAACCTTTTTTAGATTCTGCCTGCACCTACACAGTGACAGAGGGTGTGGCATGTCGCAGAAGTGGGAACACACACAGAAACTGCCATCATCCTGGTAAAAATGACTCGAATCTAAGACAAATAACTGAACATCGGGTTTACAATGCTGACTGCTACTGATTAGAAACTTGTATTAGTGCTGTATGACTTGCTGATCCTTACACACAACCCCCAGGGTACTACCACTCTTTCAGTTTATGGTAGGAGTGCAACGGTTCTGAAACCAAGCCCGAAACAATGGTACAATCTCATAATGTCCACAAATCACAATACACACACCCTAAAATTATATGATTATGATTCTATCTAAAGCCGAGGCAAGCTGTGTACTTTATATCATACATTACAACAGTTCTTTTGTCCTCCATCTGCATGTGTCACATGACAACTTTGGTCCAATCATGATGAAGTAATCACGTTTGTGATAAAAGTTAGATACGTTTAATTTGCTCCAGATGGATAATAACTCTGAGACTGCCCCCAAACTAGACTGTGCATAAAGATGGATGAAATGACAGCTCCACAAAAGGGAAACCAAATAATCTTGATCGCCCCCTGGTAGCTGGCTACCGTATAGCTCATAATCCCTGCATCCTTCATGTTAATGAAAGGGACATGGACCAAACTGAAGATCACTTTAACCCATTTTAGGTTGTTCTTATTACACTGGTGTCTGTCCAGTGTACACTCTGGTTCCAAATGACATCAAAAGCCAAAGATGGCGGCACCGCACCATGGTTATGTTGGCTTTCTTTTTGTACAGTGGGAAGAAGTGGAAACGTGTAGGAACATTTTGATTTTGTGGCTCAAAATTAGTTTATTATAGGTAAAAATGCTTGGTGAGTGTTGAATGAATAAGAAGGATGGACACCACTTTCATGAGTGTATGCTAAATATTAAGCTAAATCTAGCATGTGATTAGCGTAAATAGCATAGCATAATGAAACAGAGGGAAACAGGTGAGGAAGCCAATAAACAGTCCCAGCATTCAAATGCCTCATAACACCACGACTTCTCTACGTGCACAGATTAAACACAGAATACGTTACAGCGAAAAATAGTCCACAATTTCATTTCATTTACAAACCCAAACAAAAAGCAAACGAATAGGCATATGAACTGATAATGAAAGTAACTGTTTGTTGCAGCTCTAAAAGACAAAATACTACTGCTCGGTCACAAGGACAAAAAGATTCGCTGTGCAAGCAGATCTCTGGCTCCTGAGATCCAGCACAAGACGACCAGCGCTCCTTTACATAAAAATATTGCCAGAGAGGAAATTTCAACCCACAGCCAAAAGAATTCATGCTTACATCTCAAGTAGGACATGCAGACAATGACACATTTCATTGGTCTCACTGAAATGTCTATTTGGGGACTACAAAAAATATAAATACTGCTGCTTGACTCCTTACCAAAACAATAAAAACGAGGGAGCATGTGAGTGTGGTTTTTAGTTTAAAGTTGTCATGGTTCCAAGTATCTTTTCGGATTGATTTTAAAGTCCCATTGCTTGTACATAGAGCACTTAATGGATGAGCTTGCATGGCAGACTCCCTGTTGTTTTAAGTGCCTTCACGTTCACTCATATCCTCCAGTGTGGGTTGCTGGGAGTTCAAAACCACAGACATGGGACGTTTCATTTTTTATGTTCTCAAACTGTGGACCACCAGTCCCCTGGATACAAGGAGGACGAGTTGGTTAGGTTTAAAAACAGCTTAAAAACTGATATTTCTGTTGGATTTCACCTCGTCATTTAACATGGGAAATTATTCTCTCTCTGTGGATATAGACTATTCAGTATATTATTATATTATTATTATTTTTCCACCTGTCTGCTGTATGATCCTGTACATATAACATCTGCTTAACTTTTATATCTGAGACCACAGTGCAGCAGTCACCGAGCTTTAGCTTATACCAAACCTTTATAGCGTCATTCATATTTTGTGCAAAGCGTAAAGCTCAGGCAAGAAGATCAGTGGCTTTTATTGATCTAATTTATTAACTGATGTATGCCTATAGCCAACTGCCAACGCACAATGTGCCTTTCAGTGAGTGCATATGAACGAGTGATGTGAGTGGAAGAGAGAGTGACGGAGATACGAGAAGACAGAACTCCCTTTAAACTCTATATACAGAACACTGCATTTATATATTTTTTTTCTCATTTATTTTCTTTAAACTGCAGAATCATCACATCAGCGAATTTAGCAAAGATGGTGTGTGTGTGTGTGTGTGTGTGTGGTGGTGGTGGTGNCACAATGGGTTTGTCTTAAAACATGTCGTAAAACAATTTCAAGACTAATAACTTTTTATGACATAAATGTGTGTGTAGTCCAGGTATTACTCATGTTGTGGGGACCTAAATATCTTGATAGTCTTTATGAGGACAAAAAAAGTCCTCATAACAAATCATTACATCAATAAAGGTTTTGGGTGAAGTGTGTGTGTGTGTGTGTGTGTGTGTGTGTGTTTTAGGAACCTGCATCTCTGACTTTTCAGTCTTTATGGGGACTTGCTTTGTCCCCATTACAAATTATTAAATCATCAAGGGGTGTGTATGTATGTGTGTGTGTGTGTGTGTGTGTGTGTGTGTGTAATTCACAGTCAAAACTTAACCGTATGTGTGCGTGTACATTGTGGGGACCTACATGTCTTTACGGCCCTCAAGGGGACAAATTAAGTCCCCATAACAAATCACTAAATCATCAGGTCTTTTGTGAGGTGTGCGTGTAGGTGTGTTTGATTCACAGTCAAGACCTAATCTTCAATTTCCTTAAAATAACCGCACAAAGACATGTGAGTGAACCCTATAACCACACTGCGTCAAACCAGCTTCGTGCGTAAAACCTGGCGCACATCTAAAAAACTTACGCTGCTGTTTTGTCCGGACCAGTGCACCATCGCCTGATTGTGAGCCGTGTCCCCGCTCAGTGCAAATGTGGAACTTGTGAGCTGGAACTCCTCCTGGTCCGAAAACGAACCCTCGTCCTCGCCCTGGGGTCTGAAGCCGGACCAAGTCTCTGCTGCGCTCCTCCGCGTCCGTTTCCAACCGGCCACATCCTCGTCCACCGTCACGTCAACCTGCTCCACGTCCTCTCCGTACAAGCGTTGAGCATCCCCGGTGTTATTTTCGGTTGTGTCATCAGGAAAGGGATCAATAAACACTTCCGAGTGGGAAAGTTTGTGTTGCTCGCATGACGCGTCCTTCTGGGTGCAACTTGTTTTATTTCCCCCTGACCGTGCCTCTACTTTGGAACTTTCTCCGCTCGTGGTTAATCCCGCAACGTTGTGCTTTTCATCCCCGGCGACGGTGACTGTGGCGCCCGGGGACCGCGCGTAAAATCCACCGACTTCCTCCGCCGGTGCCTCGCCAAAATGATCAAAATCCAGCGTCGAGAGTTCCCGGGGAAACGCAGCGACGAGCGGCAGCTGACACGAGGGAATGCACCTCACCTCCGCTTTTGTTCCGCCCAGGATGGAAGTTAGGGTGAAGAGCCAGATCCACTCGTAGAAAAGGATGAAAAGGCAGTGACCGAGGCGCGTCTCCATCATACGTTATTTCCCGATGTTTAAAAACATACCATTCTCACTCGGGAGCGCGTGTCCGTCATCACCTGGCAAAGTGGAGTCCGTGAATGCACTGTGGGGAGGAGGTGCAGCAGCGCGCGGACAAGTGCTCCAAAGTACTGATGCAAACGATGCATCAGAGGAGGAGCTGGAGGCTGAATCCTGCAAGAGAGGGGAGAGAGGGGCCCACATCTCAACCTGGAGGGGGGACACAGCAACTGTTAATTTAGTTATTTTCCAGAAGAGAAACATTCTCCCCTTGGGGTCCTGCTTCTGTTTTAAATCATCTCTGCACATCACGTCACTATCTGACCATCATCATCACTGCAGCTGCCAACTCTTTATTGAGCTTGGTGAATACAGTTTTAATCATGGCACACAGAATCATCGAAACCTCAACTTATATTTATCCTTTCAGCGCAATTTAAGTTTTTTAATCTCACTTTATTTTACCTCCAGCTGTTTTTGTTTTAGTTGATTCATTTGTTTTAATTGATTCATTTGCTCTAAATTAAAATACTGTCTTTATTCCTATGGCTTTTTACTTTGGCTCTTGCTATTCTACTTTTACTCTTATTTATTTACGTTTTCCGAGTGTTTTGTGTACTCGGCTGTATTGTAGATGAGGTCTCTACCTCTGGGAGTTAAAATAAAGGTTGAATGAATGAACAAATTAAAAACATTGATAAATATGCGTTGGATTAAAACAGCCTAATAAAGGTTTTCAGATGTTAGCACCCCCTGAGAAGAGACATTATTGGGTCTGCCTCTTCTTGTCTTTGTGAGGAAATGTTCCTGACGGGGGCTTTATAGAAGGCACAATGAGCCTTTGCATTTTCCATTACTGCAGGCCTTGGTAATCAATTAACAGGATGTCCTGCGTTCACTGTCAATTATGCCATGCAGGTAATGACTCTGTTGCGGACCCGCCTGCAAAATGGCCTGGAAATTGTTTTACTTTGGCCGCGCCGTATGCTGTACAATCCATTTAACACAGGTTAATGGATAAAAAAAGCATATTGCTCAAATTTTTGCTTCTGTTTTTGTGCCTTGTTTCAGGTTAATGCAGGTTGTCTGGTAAAATAATGAAAGGGATTCAAACCAGATGTGGGCAAGAAGTCATTTATCAACCTCGTATATGGTTTTCAGTTGTATATATAGGCACTGAGGGGTATGCAGATGCATGGCAATAATCGAGAAGTCATTACTGCCATGCATCGCAGACACCCTTGAATATGTTGTTATATTTCTCTATACTTTGGGCTTTGTTCCAGTCAGCTAATGGTAAACCATTAGGAGGACTAGAGCCTGTCCAAACCCTGTGATTAGATTCTGTTTCTGGGCAACATTTCGTCAATAGGATGAGGATGCTGTTGACTGGTGACTGATGCTGAAGAGACTGCTTATATTGAGCTGTGTCCTCCCCATCGCTCCAAGCTGGGACGTGATCCTGTTCCACATACGGGTCAACTGCACAGACTCGTCTTTCATTGGCAGCCATTAGTGATGCAGTGAGCAAGAGCTGTCTCAATCTGTTTCAGTTAGCCCCCACCAGACAAGGGGAAACCAGTCTATAATGCAGATTGATGGCTGACTGAGAATTTCAATCATGGAGAACAATGGCTAAAAAGCTTAGGTCTTGACTGTAATGCAGACCTAAAGCTCTGTCCAACTAATACAATGCAGAGGACCTAGAAAGTGAAGCCTGTGTGTGGCACATATTCAACTTTTTACATGTATTTTTTACTCACTGCTGTCAGGGATGCATCTGCACTGACACTGTGGAATGATCATAATGGATTTTTGTCTGAACTGTCGGCTTAGGTTAGACATGGATGGTTGTGCACAAGTGGTTCGTGCTGTGTGTAGCTGGTTTTCTAATTTGTCTTTTTATGTCTTTGATAGAAAAATATATTTTCACAGATGGATGCAACTAACTAATTATTATAAAAATAAAAATCTTCTCTTTTTATTTTCTTGTGTAACAAACTAATTGTTTTTAAATTCAGATTCCCAGGGACAAAGGTGAAATTGTCAAAGTTGTTGCTTTATCAAGAAAAACTGCCCAGAAATATTAAATTCATGAGAATATAAATGAAGGAAAAGGATCATAAAGAATTGGACTTGCATGAAAAATTACCTCAGCAATTAATCACCTAGTTGCAGATACATTTTCATTTGATTGACTGATCAAATAGTTGATTGAAACTCATTGAAACTCAGGACGAAACTCCAGTTAAGATATTAGATTCCTGAGTGAAGCCACAGTGGGAGGATGAAGATATGTAAACATCATCGTGTGTAAAAGCGTTAGGGTCAGGGGGGGTTCAAGCACAAAGAGCTCTTGGCCAGCCTTCCCTCATCATCAAACTGAATCTCCACCTATCCACTGCGAGGTATAAGGTTCAAACTTTCCTCTACATTATTTCAACTGAGGAATATTTAAACAGCCTCACCCATGTTCTCTCTCTCTCTGCTGTCTTTGCAGTTTATGCTTCTCACAGCTTCACCCCTCCACCGCCAGGGTCAAGGCCTCATCTAAGGCTCCCATGGGGATATCCGGCTGGCTGCTATTCACAAGTCTCTATCTCTGTACATCAATCAATGGGTTCAACATCAAAGTCTTATTCCCCCCACCAAGGATGTTATTTCTTTGTTTTGGTGAAAGGAAGGGCTTACGATACGGGTCAGGCAAGAACACATTACATTTTGGTGCGGATCGAAATAATTGGACAGATCCAGGAATTTTGTTTGAATTTTCCCGTCTGCACATACATGCATCTCTCTCATGCAACGACGGATTTTGACTGACACAGACTGAGGGGTGAACAATAAGACCTCACGTGAGAGAGAGAACTGTATTGCATGTCACTTGCGGGTACGCAACAACTGCAACTGATATGAGGTCTGACTGTCTGCAGGGATGGTAACAATTTTTTGGATAATAATGTGAGCGAGCATGCAGCAAATAGCGCTGTAATGCAGCTATAAAGCAAAACACCATGATAGAGATCGCTTATGTTATTATGATGCATCTTTTTAACATTATGAAACTGGTGGGACAAATCAAAACATGGCGAGCAGCCAAAGTTAATTCTAATTAATGAAAAACACTCTTTGACACGATGAGATAGGGCATTAGCCTTGATGGAGGTATAGGCGCTCTCACAGTACCCTTCTAGACTTTGAGCATGTTTTTCCTGACTGAAATTTATTTTCTAAAAAATATATAAATAGGCTGAGAGCTTCAAAATCACATGTTAAAATAAAAATAGATACATGAAATTCAGCAGACTTTGGTAGGACTTAAGTGTGTGTATGTGGGGGGTCTTTCTGATATGTTCACAGACTTTAAATTTCATTTTGATCGGTGACAGATTTCAGCACGGATATCTTATAGCACATTTGTGTGCACAACATGGCCGCTGAGTGGAATTATTGTCTTTCCACAGACAAGATTGCTGCTTTCCCGCCTGTCACACAGACTGAATACAAACTGTGCCATGCTCCCTGAGCTCATACTCCTATGATGGGACCTTGTGAGCAGACAGTGTGACAAGCACACAAAGGAGCGAGACAACAGCGATCCATGTTGGAGGATTATTCGCTGCTTCTAATTAAATTGGACTCAGTGGTAGAAGAAAGGAGGACAGTGTAGCATTTATACCAGCCTCTATTTTTTTTTAGACCTTTTCCACATTGATGTCTGGTTCACTTTCACAACCACCCTGATTACTGCAGTACTCATAACATTTTAAAAAGGACCAAAAGACACTGCAGACATTAGTCATGCATAGCACATTGTGTAACACTTCAGCTCCTCCTAAAAAGCTAACATCTGCCTTCAGTGCAGCTTGGCATTGAGTATAAGAAGCAATATGTGTGTATGACAAAAGCCGCAGAAAAGGTATCTTCTTTTATTCCTGCGTGCAAATGTTACTTGTACCCACCCCTCCTCTTCAAAAAATGAAACAGAAAATGTGAAACTAATGTGAAGGTTTTCGTAATTTGGCCTCTTGCAGACAAGTTAAATAAATATTCGTGCTGAGGAAGCAGTCGATCAATTAAACAATGGACACCTGAGACATCCACTTCAATTAGTGCTGAACACACCTCTGGGGCACCTGGAGAGAAAATGGCCTTCCCAAATGATGATGTCAATTACGTTATCGAGAGATATGGTGAGATGTAATACACGTTAACTTCTCTGTGTCCATGTGATGTCTCAAATCCTTCAGCTATCTTGCACATATGTGATACGGTCTGATGTGTTGTCGGTGAAATGACAATATGCGACTCTGACATTTGTTTTATTTATTTTTGATTCACTCTATCACATAAGGTTTGACTAAAAAACATTTAATTCAGCACAGATTCAGTAATAAGTGAGGTGAGTTTCCCCACTGAAGGACTTCTTCGCCTTTATGTAAATCTCCATTCTTCCTAATGTTTCACTTAACCTTCAGTGTTCACAATTCAATGCTGCTCAGAACATCAACAGCAGCTTAATATGAACACAAATTTACATGAATCCACATTTTATTCACACAATGGGAAAAAGCGTTAGGAGGTTAATGTTTTTGAGCAACAGGGCAAAAGTTTTTCCTCATTTCAGTCCTGCCGAGGGGGTAAAATGCACTAATTTTAAACTAAAGTGGAAATTTGTGTCATAGGTCTGAGCACATAATTTAAGGAAATTAAACTATGGCATGGGGCACCATGCAGGTTCGGGTTTGTTTTTTCTATTCATGTGTAAAATTTTAATCTTATATAAACTGGGTTGTTTGATTGGAAATTATTTTCACTTTTTTTTTATGTAGAGCTTCAAATTACATTTAGAAACAACTTATGAGACTAAAGCAGCTTAAAATAAGCATTAAACAGAGAAACTGAGGATCTTGTTTACAGTTGCAATGGTTTTAACTGCTAATTTGTATTTATACCACAATGCCGTCTGGAGTTGCAGACTCTACAGGTGCCAACACCAAACAGCAGCTG